TCTGTCTAGCCAGGTGCCTGATCAGCTCACACCTGATCAGCCCAGCTATTTAGCAGGCTGAGATTTGAGGATCACGGTTCAAAGCCATCTTGTGGCATGAACATCCGTGAGACCTTCATCTCCAGTGAACGGCCAAAAAAATGCCAGAAGTGGAGCTGTGGCAACCAGCCTTTGAGTAGAGAAAGCTCAGGGACAGCGCCCAGGCAGGCCCTGAGTTCAAAACCAGCCCAGGCAGGGGAAAAAGTCCGTGTGACTCTTAGCTGCAAAAAAGCCAGATGTGGTGGTGTGGCCCAAAGAGTAGAGCACCAGCCTTGAGCCAAAAAAAAAGCCAAGTTAAAGCTTAAAGGCCACGAGTTCAAGCCCCAGCACTGACACAACGCCACCAAACCACAAAAACCGCTTTGGTATAGAGTCAACCAAACCATGCCTGTTTCTTGTTGGTTTTTTAACTCTTTCCAAAAGCTAGACGGGCATGAAGGTTTATCATTATTATCATGATTATCATTTGGTTTTCTGTGCTGCTGAGCACTGGCCAACCTCGCCCAGGGTGGCCTGCGGCTCTCTGACTGTTGTCTGCCGATGTGCCTACGGGCTTCCACACCTGCTCACACTCGCTCGTGTGTGCATGCTCCGATGGGGGTCTGTCACCTTGCAGCCAGCCTACCTTGTCTCCTTCATCCAGGTCCCCAGCCCCTGAGAGAGGCCAAAAGAGTAAAATGATGAGAGAGCCGGGCACCCCGGCCCCCTCTGGCCCTCTTCCCCCTTCTAGAAGCTCAGCTTGCCTACCAGCTGTGGAAGTCTTGTTGCTTCCCACAAGAGGAAGCTTCCACAGCCTCAGTTTCCCCTTCCCTCTGCCGGACCCCTTTTCAATTCTTTTTCCCAATTGGGGATTTTTTTTTTTAAGTGGTCTATGTCTTCCTTGACAGCTGGAGTCTTAGAGCTCCATAGCCTTAGCCTTTGGTGCGTTGGGCCTTGGCCAGACTCCTTAGTGGAAGCCACTAGGTCTTTGTGATAAGCCTTGAAATTCAGGGTGGGGTGAGGTGGTGGAGTCCACGTTGGGGTGCTAGTAACTCACCCTGCCCGTCATCCTAGCGACCCGTGGAGGCCCAGGTGGAGGCTCATGGCCCGAGGCCAGCTTGGGCGAGATAAATCCATGAGACTCATCTCCAATGAGCCAGCCAATTTTCTTTTCTTTTTTTTTTTTTTGTTGGTCATGGGGCTTGAACTCTGGGCCTGGGCACTGTTCCTCAGCTCTTCAGTTCAAGGCGAGTGCTCTACCTCTTGAGCCACAGCGCCACTTCCAGTTTTCTGGTGGTTAGTTGGAGATAAGAGTCTCATGGCCTTTCCTGCCCAGACTGACTTTGAACTGCGATGCTCAGATCTCAGCCTCCTGAGTAGCTAGGATGACAAGCCTGAGCCACCAGTGCCAGGCTTCAATTATCTTTTTAATAAAATTAAATTTTTAAAAAGGTGAAAACAGAAACAGATCTAGAGCAGGAAAACCATGCAGGCCCTGAGTTTACATCTCAGTACTGGCCCCCAAATAATAACACTAATGTTAATATGGCTCAAAAGTAAAATTTCGGTGTTTTTTTTTTTTTTTTTTTTGGGGGGTCCGGTCATGGGGCCTGAACTCTGGGCCTGGGAGCTGTCCCTCAGCTCTTCAGCTCAAGGCAAGCGCTCTACCACTTGAGCCACAGCGCCACTTCTGGCTTTTTTCTTTTTGCTTATGTGGTGCTAAGGAATCGAACCCAGGGCCTCTGGCATGCAAGGCATGCGCTCCACCACTGAGCCACCTTCCCAGCCCCAAATTTCTTGTTTTGTTTTCACTTGTGGACCATTGACCCCACTGCCAGCCACCATCGTCCTCTGGTCCTTAGTCTGAGGACTGAAGAGTAGTATTCAGGGTTCCAAACTCAGTTACCCAGTGCCGGTGGAGCTAGGGACACCTCGCTATGCAGAGCCATGGGCAGTGGGCTGCACACACTGTAAGTTTTGTTGAAAATCCGTTATTTAACATCACCCTGCTCCTGCACCTCCTTAAGTGTCTTGAGTGTTGGAGTCAAATACTGATACCTGGCCGGGTACCGGTGGTTCACGCCCATCATCCCAACGAACTCAGGAGGCTGAGATCTGGAGGATGGCTGTTCAAAGCCAGCCCGGGCAGCAAAGTCCATAAGACTGATCTCCAATGGACCACCAGAAAACCAGAAGTGGTGCAAAGTGGCAGAGCACCAGCCTTGAGCAAAGTGCTCTGGGACAGCACCCAGGCCCCGAGTTCATGTCTCACAACCTGCAGCCCCCCCCAAAAATACTGATATCTACAGAGCAGAGCCACATGGAGCGCTTCAGGATTTTCACCCACGCCCTTCCTGCCCTCGGTGGTGGCATTGTGGGGCTTTTTGTGGAAGTGGGAGCATGCAGAGAGGATTAAAATGCTAGAATATTCCAGGAGGGAGTAGCCCAGGAATCGTTCGTTTTTTTAGACAGGTCGGAGCCAGAGCCTAAATGCCATGAAGTGTAGAATTGGGTGTGAGTTGTTCCAACCCAGTTTACAGCTATAGGGCGGGGCGGGGGGGCGTTGGCTCCTGTGGCCCACAGACATGGCACATGGGGCTGAAGTGGGGGCACTAGCCCCCACATATAAAACACATATATAATCTATATCTAAAACACACATATATAATATATATATTATATATCTAGGGTTTTTTTTTTAACTCATCTATCTGTAAAAAGCCATAGGATCCTGACATGCAGCGAGGAAAGTGTGGGGTTTATTTTTTGAGGTAACTACGGGTATTGCTTCCTAATACCAACCTTTTATGATAGTGGCTCCTTTGAGGCGTTATCTTCCCAACATTTACCAAAACACTTTTTTTTAAAAAAAAATTTTTGTCTGACTTGAATTTGCACAGGCCTCAAGTACGAGGTGCCAACTTCAAAGTCTCCCAGCCCTGGCGTGACGCCTGTCATCCCCGCTACTCAGGAGGCTGAGATCCGGAGGATCGTAGTTCAAAGCCAGCCCCAGGTAGGAACGTCCGTGAGACTCTGATCTCCAGTGAACTACAAATTAAAGCCAGATGCAGCGCTAGGGCTCAGAGGGGTGGAGCACTAAGCTTTGAGCCAGAAGCTCAAGGACAGCGCCCCAGATCCTGAGTCCAAGCCCCAGGAATGGCACAAAATAAAAAAGATCTGTAAACCTGTAACCTGGCCACACTTTACAGCTTTGGGTTTTACAGGTGGCTTTCTAATGAGAAGTAAGATCAACTCCCCACATAGCGCATGTCCTGGCCAGCCAGTGCTGGCCCTGCCACTGACTGCCAAGCCTGGGTCCCCATGGTTTTCCGCTGGACATCTCAATGTGATTGCAAAAATAGGTAAAATTTACAAGAAAGCCAGCGTGCCGCACGGTGTGGGGACCACACCCAGCACCCCGTGTCCACAGGGACAGCCCTCCCCATGAAGAAGTTGGCCGTGATGGTTTTTTTTTTTTCTTTTTCTCATTTTCCCTGCCAAAATAACAATAAATCCAGCCTGGACCTGCGCTCTCTGGTGGTCAGCCTGCGTCACTGCACAGCGCCCTGCAGGGACAGCCTGTCTTTGGTCAACCCCCTGTCCTCAGTCCCCCCCCACCTCCCCGGGGCCGGGTTTTCTGGTGGTTTATTGGAGATAGTCTCACTGTCGTTCCTGCCCAGGCTAGCTTTGAACCACAATCCTCCAGATCTCAGCCTCCTGAGTAGCTGAGATGCCAGGTGTGAGCCACCAGCACCCAGAAGAACCAGTCCTATGAGGAGATGGCGCAAAGCATCCTGGGAACTGAGCCCCTCATCACTGAGGTCACGGAGTGAGGGAAGCACTCTCTAGGGATAGATAGGCCTTGGAGATGAGGGGGACAGAGGTCCAGCAGACGTAGGGGCCGGTCCTCTGGTGGGGCTCCTATTCTCCAGCCTGAGATCTGGAGGATCAGGATTCAAAGCCAGCCTGGGGCAGGAAAAGTCTGTGAGACTCTTGTCTCCAGTGAACCACCAGAAAACCACCAGTGTACCAGCCTCGAGTGAAAACAAGCTCGGGGACAGCGCCCAGGCCCTGAGTTCAAGTCTCAGGACTGACACAAAGAAAAAAGACCCAGGACAGCTCAGATGACAAGCTGGCCAGCCAAGGGCGATGGCAAGAGTGCTAGCACCCACCACTCAGCAGCCACCGGCAGCCTATCCCTGAAGGACCGATGCCCCAGCCCGGAGGACACAGTGTGGTCCCCGCCCACACAGAGGTGAGCACAGGCCCTTGACTCATGGCCCCATTGGTGATCTAAACTGAGCCAGGACTCAGGCGTCATGAACCCCCAGTCCTACCCCCTCTTACGTGTGCACCCCCAGTTCTACCTCTCAGACTCTGATTTCTGAGCCATTTTGGGGAGTTGTAAGGAGGAATTCCACGGCGTGGCTGGATACGGCAGAAAGGGGCAAAGGAAGCTGGGAGACAGACACACCCCAACCTCCCGGCAGGGGGGCAGGGAGTCCTTCCCTCTTACCAACGGAAGGGGGTGAACCCCTCCACAGAACACTGAGTGGGGTGTGCAGGCCTTCGAGCCCCGATCTGAACAAGACAGGTTTTCTGTGGTGACCCAAGCTTTTTTGGAAGAGGCCCACGTGGTATGTCAGCCACACCCGCAATGTTTGGGTAAAGGGACCATAGGACAGAGTCTCACTTTGGCAATGATGACAATTTTTTTAAATGCTGGTATAGGGGGCCTCTCCCTCTCCTAGAGCTTTGTTTTTCACTCAAGGCTGGAGGGCACACTACCACTTTAGCCACACCACCACTCCTAGCTCTTTTTTTTTTTTTGCCAGTTAACTGGAGATGAGCCTCTGAAGTACATCTAGCTTTGATGTTCTGCTTCGATGATCCTCACATCTCAGCCTCCTGGCAAGTGGGGATGACAGGTGTGAGCCACCGGCATCCAGTCCACTATTGTTTTTTTTTATTTTTTTTACTTTTTAAATCAAAACCCTCAACCTTACAAGCCGGCAGAGGATGGAGAGGATTGCAGTGTTGTTCCTAACGGAATGGATGACAGCTCCAGGGATCGGACCAGCTCTGGGACACCCCTGAGAGGCAACTAACAGTCCAGCGCTGGAGAGCTGAAGGCAGTTCAGGGAAGGCCTTGGAAGTACACCAGAGGCAGCTGCGGTGGCACCATCCTTGGCCTGGATGTGGATCTGGGATCACACCATCCTTGGCCTCGGTGTGGATCTGGGATCATACCTTCCTTGTCCCAGGTGAGAATCTGTGGTCACACCATCCTTGCCCTGGGCGTGGATCCAGGATCACACCATCCTTGTCCCAGATGTGAATCTGTGGTCATAACATCCTTGTCCCGGATGTGAATCTGCAGTCACAGTGTCCTTGCCCTAACTGTGGATCCAAGGTCACACTGGCCTTGCCCTAACTACAGATACAAGGCCTGGTCCAATCAGGGCAAACCCCAAGTCCCCAACTCTAGTCCTGGATGCAGATCTTCACAAAGAGCGTGGCTGATGGATACTGATCCCCATTTTTAGACAAGAGATGGACATGACGGTAGCCTGGCAGAAAGAACCAAAAAAAAAAAAAGCAGTCTGGTCACTCCGAGCAACTCCAATAGAGGCCCCGCCCTTCCTCTCTCCCTCCTCCCCCTGCTCCTCCTCTTCCTGTCTCTGGGCAGATGCTCACCCTGCTTGAGGCTGCCCCAGGGGATGGTGCTCTGGCCAATGAAGTCGTTCTTCGAGGAGGCATCGTAATCCTCAACAACAAACCGCACCAGGGCGAGCTCTGGCACTGCCACTTCAAACTCGAACTCCGTGTCCCACCAGGGGTTGAAGCCTGGGAATAGGCCTCGTCATAGTCAGGGCACGGACAGACAGCGGCTCCGGGAGCCAGGCCCGCCCACTCGCCCACCTGCCCACTGGCCAGCTGGCCCACCCACCGGCTGGCCCCATTTACCATTGTTGGTGACCACAGCCGTGTGGCGACTGCTCATGTCCCGGCCCACGCCGTGTATCTCCACCGTCACCTTGGGGTCCACGATGGAATTCTTGTTCTTATTGACTTTTGGTAGCTGTTGTCCAGAAATAACCTAAGGTAGGAGAAATGGGAGATAACAAAAAGCGTTGACAAAAAATAGTAATAATAGGCCAAGTGCCATCAGCTCATGACTGTCATCCCAGCTCCTCAGGGAGGTTGAGATCTGGAGGATCTCAGTTCAAAGCCAGCCTGGGTGGGAAAATCCATGAGACTTTTTTTGGGGGGGGCTCTGGTCGTGGGGCCTGAACTCTGGGCTTGGGCGCTGTCCCTCAGCTCTTCAGCTCAAGGCTAGCGCTCTACCACTTGAGCCATAGCGCCGCTTCCAGCTTTTTTCTTTTTGCTTATGTGGTGCTGAGGAGTTGAACCCAGGGCCTCAGGCATGCAAGGCAAGCGCTCTACCACTGAGCCACCTTCCCAGCCCATCCATGAGACTCTTATGTCCAATAAACTACTAGAAAACCAGAGGTGGTGCTGTGGCTCAAGTGGTAGAGCGCTCGTCTTGAGCTGAAGAGCTGAGGGACAGCACCCAGGCCCTGAGTTCAAGTCCCATGACCAACAGAAAATAATAATAATAAAGTAGGAAGGAAAGATCCAGGGGGTGCCTGTCTCTCGGAATCTAGCCATACCCTGATGTTCAGCCGCTTCGGGGCCCACCAAGGCCCCTGAGTCAGGGCGCGGGAGTTGAAGGTGGTGCTGGGGTCCCGCAGGAAAGCAGGCTTCAGCACATACCCGCAGGCCCCGTTGTCCTGGAAACGGCCCTGGTAGACATCCATCTCTGGCCCAGGCGTCTGGAAGTTCAGGGCCACTGGAAGCAAGACAGGAGAGTCACAGGCTGAGGGTGGGCTGGGCTGGGCCTCTGGGCCCTGGGTCTCAGGGTATACTGAGGCAGGATTCTGTGTGATTGCATCTGCCACCCTCCCGACCCACCACGCTAACCATGCACTCCATTTCTTTCTGCTGATAACCTAGGGCTTCAGACTCAGGGCCTGGGTGCTATCCTGGAATTTGTTTCATTTTGCTTCATTTTACTCGAGGCTGGCCCTCAACTATTTGAGCCACACCTCCACTTCCAGCTTTTGGCTGGTTTGCCGGAGATAAGAAATGTCACAGAAGCCGGGTGCCAGTGGTGGCTCACGCCTGTCATCCCAGCTCCTCAGGAGGCTGAGAGCTGAGGATCGCCGTTTGAAGCCAGCCCCAGGCAGGAACGTCCGTGAGACTCTCCTCTCCAATGAACCACTCAGAAAAAAGCCAGAAGTGGCACTGTGGCTCAAATGGTAGAGCACCAGCCTTGAGTTTGCAAAATAATAATAGGGCTGGGAAGGTGGCTCAGTGGTAGAGCGCTTGCCTTGCATGCTCAAGGCCCTGGGTTCGATTCCTCAGCACCACATAAGCAAAAAGAAAAAAGCCGGAAGTGGCGCTGTGGCTCAAGTAGTAGAGCACTAGCCTTGAGCTGAAGAGCTGAGGGACAGCGCCCAAGCCTGGAGTTCAGGCCCCACGACCGGACCCCAAAAAATAATAATAATAATAAAGCTCAGGAACAGTGTCCAGGCCCTAAGTCCAACCCCCAGTGTCCAGGCCCTAAGTCCAACCCCCAGGACCAGCAAAGAAAAAAAAAAACACAAAACATGGATTCGTCTGCCTGGGCTGGCTTCGAACCACCAACTCCTCCTGAGCAGCTGAGACGATGGGTATTTGCTACAGCACCTGACCTACCCCTGAACTACATACTCCATCTCCAAGACCAGGCGGGTCGGGAAATAAAAATTCTGTAGCTCAAGGCAGCCCCCCACTGCCCTTCCAGACCCCTTGCCCTCCCCCCCACCCCTGGGCCCCACCCCACCCACACACCCCTCCTCCCCTCCCCCCATCCACACCCCACATCTATCCAGCACCCCCCTCCTCCCCTCCACCCACACTCCATACCTATCTGGCACCCCCCGTTCCACATCTCCACCGGGCTGTAGTTGGAGGAATCCGTCCTCCAGCCGGCAGGGTAGATTCTGCTCAGGTGGTCCACATTGTGGCGGACGAAGCCATTGCCTAGAGAGAGGGGGTGAGGGCAGGATCAGCACGCAGGCCCAGATGGACGGACAGACAGCAGATGGAGAGGAGACTCACCCGACTCCTGGAGCAAGCGCAGGGCGCGGTTCTCCGAGAATGAGGCCATCTCATAAAACGCCTGCCCATTGGTCCCGGGGTTGGCAAAGCCCGAAAAATGGACACTCTTGCAGTAGATGACCATGTCAGAAAGTTCTGGAGCCAGCCTGACCTTATCTTCCTGGAGACCATGGGGAAGCCAGGTGAGAGCGAGCAGGGGAGGGTATGGTGGGCAGAGGGGTGGGGGGAGGGAGGGGAAATGTAGACACCAAGGAGACGAGGGCTGGGCGTGTGGCTCCAGCCTGCCTACCCGGAGGCTGAGGTGTGGAGGATCACTGTTCAAAGCCAGCCCCCAAGGAAAGAAAGTGTGAGTCTTATCTCCAACAAACCAGCAGAAAGCTGGTGGTGAGGGGTGGCTCATTGGCAGAACGCCAACCTTAAGCCAAAGAGCTTTTAAGGAGAGTACAGCTGGACGTGGGTAGCTTGCCTGCCATCCCAGCCCTTTGGGAGGCTGAGGCCTAGAGGACTGTGGTTTGAGGCCAGCCCAGGCAGGAAAGTGAGACTCTCATCTCCAAGGAACCACCAGAAAGCCAGAAGTGGTGCTGTGGCTCAAGTGGCAGAGCACCAGCTTTAAGCTGATGAAGAGGCTCAGGGACAGCGCACAGGCCCTGAGTTCGAGCCCCAGTATTCACACATGCACACGCACACACAGAGTCACAGAAATCTGAGGAGAGCTCAGGGCCGTCAGAGCAAGGGGTGACCGCCCTTGCTTGCCCTCACACCTTGGGCTTACGTTGTACGCGGCTCCTCACGGCCTCGTCGTCCATCTCCGCGGCCTCATCTTCGTCCGATACATCTGCCACCTCCGAGCCACTCGTCCCTCCTGGGGCCAGCAGCCCCCCGACCTTCTTCCCCTTCAGCAGGATCTTCCCCTTCAATTGCTGGGGGGGGGGGCAGGGGTCAGAGGGCAGCGGGTCACCATCCTCCATCTGGCCTCGCCCTGAGCCAGGCCCAGTACACCCCCACCTTGGGATGCACCCTGACCGGTGCCCCACACCCCGCATCCGCACCTCGGGCGAGGGCAGGCTGGTGGTCACCCCATCCAGTGGCTTGTCCAGCAGCATGGGCCCCAGGATGGCCCGCAGGTGCCGGGCCATCACACGCTGCTGCTCCAGGCTGCAGTGGTTCTCCAGGGACAGGATGACGGGGTACGGGGACACCTGGTACCCCAAGACACGCGGGAGTGGGAGGAGTCAGCATACCGCACGCCACCCCTCCTGGCCAGCTCCCTCTCAGCCTCTGCCCCTCCCCCACCCAGCCAGCCCTCCCCAGTCCCTCCCCCTCCCCTTCCCCCTGCCACCAGCCCCCACCTTGAAGGCGTAGTCCCGGATGGCCCGCAGCGCATCGCTCAGGAGGATCTTGGAGGTGAAGGTGTAGCCATGGTAGATGACCGGCTCCTGGCCTGGCCCATCCCAACAATCCAGCTCCAGACACCGGCAGCCCTTGCACAGAGCCCTGGGGCACAGACGGGTCGGTCCTGCCCATCCTGCTCCCACGCAGCCCCCCGGGCCCCCCAGGACCACCCCACAGCCCCCCAGGATCCCCCGCAGCCGCCAGGACCACCCCCAGCCCGCACCGGATGTAGGCCTCGGTGCTGCTGGGCCCAGTCAGCTGGTCCTCCAGCAGGTAGGTGTTGTGCGAGGATGACACGAGGTAGTGGCTGAGTGGCTGCCCCATGTCCTGGTAGACGCGCCGGTGTGCCAGGCTGAAGGCGCTGCCATCCGCAGACAGCAGGTACATGAGGAAGCCGTCCTTGGTCATCTGCCGGCGGGCTTTGGCTGGGGAGGGAGGAGGGAATGCCCCACAGGGGCTCTCAGAGCCAGGCGTGATGTCCCACCACCCCGTGAGGGGCCCCCAGAGCCGGGTGCAATGCCCCACCACCCCGCAGGAGCCCCCAAAGAAAACCAGAAGTGGCCCTATGGCTCAAGTGGTAGAGACCTTGCCTTGAACAAAAAGCAGCTCAGGGACAGCACCCAGTCCCTGAGATTAAGCTTCATTATCAGTGCACACACGCGCACACACACATACACACACACACACAAAAGTATTGAAGAGATGAAAAGGAAACTGAGGCCCAGAGAAAGGACAGTATGCTAGAGTCCTGAATTTTTTTTTTCTTTTTTCAATCATGGGGGCTTGAACTCTAGGCCTGGGCACTGTGCCTCAGCTCTTCAGCTCAAAGCAAGTGCTCTACCACTTTGCACCACTTCCGGTGTTCTGGTGGTTTATTGGAGATCAGAGTCTCACAGACTTTCCTGCCCTGACTGGCTTTGAACTGCGCGATCTTCAGATCTCAGCCTCCTGAGTAGCTAGGATTATAGGCATGAGCCACCCGCACCCAGTGAGTCCTGACCGCCTGTCCCCTTCATGTGACAAGCGTGCATTTCACTCCAGGGACTCTGACCTGCCTCCCTCCAGCCTCTCTCTCTCTTTCTCTCTCACCCTTCCCTTTTTGGGGGGAGTTGGGGAGATCCTTCAATTTCCATAGCCCCGAGACCTTACCTGTCTCACTGGGCTCGTAACGCTCGATGAGAGACAGAGCCAGTGCTGGGCCCGCTGCCTCTTCCCGCTGCTGGTGTCTTAGGAAGGCCACCAGCTGGTCCACAGACAGCGTGTCTCCGGACCCGGCAGCCAGGGCAAAGGTGCAGTCGATCTCCTCCCTCTGGGTGAGCATCCTGTAGAAGGCCTCGATCTCCTCATCCTCCAGGGAGTCGGTCTGAGAGTGGTCACATTCCTGCCAAATCAAGAAGCAAGCAGCAGGCGGCTGGAGTTGGGACTTCCCCACATCCTCCCCCACCACGCCCTGGCCCCAGCAAGCCGTGACTCGGTTTACCCTGAAGATTTTGCGGGCGTAGTTGTCGTCCACTTGAATGTTCAGTTCCTTCAGAAAGTTCTGCAGCTCCTTGAAGCTCATCTTGTTGTCCTTGTTCTTGTCCGCTTTCCGCAAGCAGGAATGGATCCAGCTGGGCCAGGGTGAAGGAAAGAACTAGAAAATTCCTGTCCTTTGCCCCCAAGAACCCAGTCACAGGTGGCTGTGACACTGCCTCCTGCTGGCCTGGCATGGTAATGCACCTGCAATGACCAAAAAACCTCCCACTCAGCCAGGACCTTCGAGGGTTTTCCCCATTTGCCGGTTTTCAAAATCCTTTTCCTTTCTTTCTCTTTTCTCTTCTTTTCTGTTTCTGGTGCTGGTGTGGAGCTTAAAGTCAAGATTCTGGGTGCTGACCTTGAGCTTCTTTTTTGTGTGCTCAAGGCTGGTGCTCTACCACTTGAGCCACACCTCCATGTCTGTTTTGTTTTGGCAGTTCACTGGAATTACAAGTCTCATGGATTTTCCTCCCCTGGGCTGGCTTCAAACTGGAATCCTCAGATCCCAAGGAGCTGGGATGACAGGTATGAGCCACCAGTGCACGGCTGGGAAATAGTATTTCTTACTGTGAGAGTGTGGTTCATAGGTACAGGTACAGAAGCTACCTGGAAGGCTGAGATTCAGACGATCGTGTTTTGAAGAGGACATCTCTAACTAAATAGAAAAAAATAGCTGGAGGTGGAACTGTGACTCAAGTGGTAAGAGTAGCAGCCTTGAGCAAATATGCTACGGGACAGTACCCAGGCCCTGAGTTCAAACCCTGGTACTGGCAAAGAAGGAAAAGGAGGAAGGAAGGAAGGAGGGAAGGAAGGCAGGCAGGCAGAAGAAAATGAAAAGGAAAGGAAAGATCCTGGCAAGTGCAGAACAGGCAGGGGTAGAAACACAGGCAGTGGATGTATGTGCACAGGTGCAGGGCAGGTGCAGGTGCAGGTGCAGGGCAGGTGCAGGTGCAGGTGCAGGGCTGTCGGGAACGCAGGCCAGGCTGCTGCAGGGCAGGGAGCTCAAGTGGATGACATGGTCTGATGTGGATTGTGCGGATGGTTGTGCAACTCTGAATGTGGATTTAAAAAAAATCCTTGGATCAGATCCCAGGCTTGAGTTGGTTTTATGGTTGTGTGAATTACAGGTCCATAAACTAGTCACTAAAGAAAGGGACTCCTGGGTGTGGAGCACACACCTGCAATTCCATCTTTTAAGAGACTGAGGCTGAAGGACTGGACGGTTGAGGCCAGCCTGGGTTCCCAGTGTGGAGGGTGGGGGTGGGGGGGAGGGCAAGGCAGGGGAGGGGAGCGTAGGGTAACGGAGGGGACAAAGCTGGGAGCTGGTGGTTCACACCCGTCATCTCAGGAGGCTGAGATCTGAGATCTGAGGATCGTGGTTCAAAGCCAGCCCGGGCAGGAACATCCAGAAATCTTGAAATGCAGCTGGGACTCAAGGAGTGGAGCTCCATCCTTGAGCAGAAGCAGCGCCCAGGCCCTGAGTTCAAATCTCATGACTGGCACACACACATACAAAGCCAGAAGCAGAACTGTGGCTCAAATGGTAGAGCACCAGCCTTGAGTTACTGAGCTAAGGGACAGCATCCAGGCCCTGAGTTCAAGCCCCATGCCAGACTTCCCCCAAAATATGTGTCCAACTGTCATTGCAGACATCTGGGGTGCACTGCTTGTAGTCTATCTACCCCCCCCACGCTGAGCTTCTTCTCCTCCGGCTCACATCCCCTCTCTCATCCACCAACCCCCACCCTGGGGAGAGCCCAGCTCCCCCGTGGGTCAAGCCAGTGCTTCCAGGATACTGCTGTAGCTTCTGCCTCTGGTCCATGGCGCCCGAGTGGTGAATGACCTTCCGTAACCCCTGTACCCAGTGCTGGGCATCGGCCGGGGAGGGGGCGATGAGGTCCAGCGTGCTGCGCTGGTCCTTGAAGACGATGGAGAAGCAGCGATCATCTGGGATGTCGCGGGCGAACTTCTCCAGGCCCTCGGTGCGGTGTCCCATGCGCACCTCCTGGATGTCCTCAATGGAGACTGCGCAGAAGGGAGGTGGTCACGCCTAGGACCCAGCTGGCCCCTCAGGAGGCTGAGATCTGGGGGACCGCAATGCGAGGCAGCCCGGGCAGGAAGGTGTGTGGGACTCCTGTCCCCAGTGAACCACCAGCAAACTGGAAGTGGCGCTGTGGCTCAAGCAGTAGAGCGCCTGCCTGGAGCTTAGGAGCTGAGGGACAGTGCTCAGGCCCTGAGTTCAAGCCCCCGGGACACACTAAATACATAAACAAAACTAAAATGTAAAAGTAAGTGCCCTGGTCCTGCGTCTAACCCATCCCGATGGCCGGGACGGGCTGGGGGTGCAGGGGTCCCAGCCACCTTCAAGCCCGTGTGCGTGGTGTGTGCCCCTGCGCTGCAGACTCTGATGGCTGGCAGGGTGCAGGCCCCCCCACACACACACCATCTGGGGTCCGGTGCAAATCTCCCCTAATCTCTCCTGCGTCCCGCAGGGCTTTTAACCCCGTGCAGCTAAAGCTGTCCTAAAAAAATTAATCAGACAATAAATAAATACAGCAGGAAGTCAGGGCCCTGGAGCCCCCTCCCCTACCTCCCAAAGGCCCCCCAAAAACCTGCAGCCCTGATTCACCCCAGAGAGAAAACAGCAGACACCTGGGCAGCGGCTTGACAGGTGGCTGGGCAGAGGCCTGTGTTCGAGCCCCAGCACCGACACAAAAGAGAAAAAAGATACACATCAGCCTTGCTTTCTCTAGATTTCACTCTCCATATGCTCACCTAGCCTTGGGTTCTTGGATCTTCTGGAAGCTTCCAGAAACTTCCAGAAGGCCCTCAGACCCACATCCCCAAGCAAGCAAATCCCCCCCACACCCCAGCAGTGGCGTGTGTGTGTGTGTGTGTGTGTGTGTGTGTGTGTGTGTGTGTCCCAGCCCTGCTCTACCCGATGTCCTGAGCTTGAAGCCCAGACAGCTCTGCCCATGGGGAGACACCCCACAACCCTGCCCCGGGACACCCCGGAAGTGCCCTCTCTGTCCCCGGACTTTGGGCCCGGCTGTCCGCCCAGACCACACCCAGACACCCGGACACATGGGGAGCTGGTCCAGCCATGCACCTCCCCAACACACCCGGACCTGAGCAACCAACTCCGCCCAGTGCTGTCTCCCTCCATCTCTTCTCTCTCGCTCTATCTCCTCTCTTTCTCTCTCCTCTATCTCATATCTTTCTCCTCTATCCCCCCTTCTCTCCTCCTCCTCCTCTGTCATTTTGGCACCAACACTAGAACTTGAACTCTGGGCCTGGGTACTATCCCTCAGCTCTTCAGCTCAAGGCTGGCGCTCTACCACTTGAGCCACAGCTCCATGTCCGGTTTTCTGGTGGTTCATTGGAGATCAGTCTCATGGCCTTTCCTGCCCGAGACTGGCCTCGAAGCGTGATCCTCAGATCTCAGCCTCCTGAGGAGTTGGGGTGACGGGCATGAGCCAGCTCCTCATTTCTCGAGCATGGCGGGGAAGATCCCACCAGTCTGGGCCTCAGTTTCCCCATCTGTAGTCACAGCCCATGGATAGCTTCCACCCCAGCGACCCGGCGTGCCCCAACCCCAGGCCAGCCACTCACAGAGCTGGGACTCAGGCGTCCGCATGACCTTCCTCGACTCCTGCCAGATGGTCTTGCAGTCCTCTTGCAGCTTGTAGAAGCGCTCTCGCCGCCAGGAGCCCGATTTGACCTTCAGCAGCTGCCCACCCTTGAGCAGCGCCTGTAGGTCACGGTCATCCTGCAGGCCTGGGGAGGGGAAGGCATGATCAGAAGTCATGGTGACAAGAGAAGAAGAGAGGAAAAAATGGAGGACGGTGCCTGGCAGAGATCGGACATGTGTGTGTGTGTGTGTGCGCACACATATGCAGTGAGGATTGAACCTACAGCCTTGTGTACGCTAGGCAAACACTCCTCCAGTGAGCTGAGACCTTCTCATTCCACCCAGGAGCTGACTAGGCGGCTGGCAGGAGGCTAATTCAAGAAGATCCCCTGTCCAGAGGAGCGGAGTCTCAAGTAATGGCTCAGGCCTAAGCACCGGTGGTTCATGCCTGTCAGCCCAGATACTCCAGGGGCTGAGATCTGAGGATTGTGGTTCAAAGCCAGCCCAGGCAGGAAAGTCTGTGAGACTCTGATCTCCAAGGAACCACCAGGAAACCGGAAGTGGAGCTGTGGCTCAAGTGGTAGAGCACCAACCTTGAGCTGAAGAGCTGAGGGACAGCGTCCAGGCCCAGAGTTCAAGTCCCATGATCAGCAAAACAAAATGGTACCAGGGGAGAGCTAAGACACCAGGATCCCGCTCGTGTCCTTAAATAGCAAATGCACAACGGACCCAAGGAAGAGGTGCAAAGACACCAGGCCTCTGAGCCTCTGATCTTACACCTATCTATGCACATGAACTCCAGGACCTGGAAGCAAGAGGTTGTCTCCTTCGTGGCTGTTTTTTCTTTTCCTTTCTTTTTGTCCTGTTTAATCTCTTTTGTGGGGGCACAGAAATTTGGGGGATGGAGGGTGAACCGTGGTCCTCACTGGACGTGATGTGGAGAATGATCTCTACACTTTGTGGGTGGGGACGGGAGGGAAAAAATAAGAGCTACTGAGGGAAGAGGGACATGGTCCAAAAGGAAATGTGCTCGTGACCTGACTTACAGAACTGCCACACACACACACACACCCCATCATCTCTATAGTAATAAAACATTAAATACAATGAATGAACACCATCACCCCAAATACAACCACACAGCTCCAGGGACAACCTGGGAGCCATAGACAGACTATTCCTCCCCCCCCCAAGCTACCCACAGTCACCCCAAGTTTGCACAATGTCACCTACAGACACACAGACATGCACGCGTGTGCACACAGCCACACAGCATTTACAGTGCTTGAACACTGTGATCAAGCTGGTAACAACAGCCTCCATTATAATAACTACTATTCGAGAATCAGATACCATCCCCTCTAGCACCAGGGCTTAATTCCTCCCCTCCCTTTCCCAGCCAGCCCAGGTCAATTCCCAGTTTACAGATAAGGAAACTGAGGCGGAAGGAGGTCGTTGGCCAGACGGAGTGGGGACGCAGAAGCAGGCAGCCCGCATTCACCAGGGCCGAGGGGGCAGCAGAACAAATACTGATTTGTGCCCAGTGGCCGGTGGCTCCGCTTACCCTGTGGGCTGCAGATCTGAGGATGGGCGGAGGTTCAAAGCCAGCCAGGGGAAGGAAAGTCTCCAAGAATCTTATCTCTAAGTAAGCAGCAAAAAGCCTCCTCTCGAGGTGTGGTTCAAGAGATAAAGTGCCAGCCCGGAGCAAAAGCTGAAGCCAAGAGAGAGATCCCGGGGCCCTGATTTCCAGCCTCACTACTGCCCCAAAACAAGACCAAACACAGAAACTTCCAGCACCGGGAGTTCCCGCCTGGCCTCCCAGCTACTCAGGAGATCTGAGGACCACGGTTCAAAGCCAGCCCAGGCAGGAAAGTCCCTGAGACTCTCATCTCCAGTGAGCCAGGATGTGCAAAACTGGATGTGGAGCTGTGGCTCAAGTCGCAGGGAGGACTGGCATACATGCACACAGACAGACACGTGTACACACACGCACACACACTCACCTTCAGAGCACTGGGCCGCACACGAGTGTAGCCAGCGGCAACGCGGCGGCCCCCCCCCCCCCCCGTGAGTGACAAAGCCACGGTCACCGCGGGGCTGCCCCATCCCCTCCCCCCCGCCCTCCCCCTGCCCTTCCCTTCCTCCCCCCCTCCCCCGCCCCGCGCCCCTTACCCAGCCTCTGCCCGTTCAGCGCCGCCACCCGGCGGCTCTGCTCCTGCAGGAAGAGCTCCCGGGAGCGGCTGCGGCTGCGGCGCCGGCCCTGGAGCCCCAGGCACTGCATGGCGAGCGCGCCCGTCCGGTCCCGTCCCGTCCCCCTCCTGTCCCTGTCTCAGCCGAGCCCGCAATCCCGGGCAGCGGGGGCGGGGCCGGGGGCGGGGCCGGGCCCGGAGAGACAGCACTGCGGCCCTGTGGGCGGGGCGCGGGAAGAAATCTGAGCCGAGGGGGCGGGGCCCGGCCTAGAAGGCGGGGCCACACCGAGGAGGCGGGGCCAGACTGAGGACGTGGAGTGATCTCGGGAAGGGCGGGGCCAGCTGGGGAGTGACGGCCATTGGGGAGGGGCGGAACCCGTTTTCCCCAGGGGGCCGGAGCCAGTCAGTCATCCGGGAGGAGCGGAGTCAGACAGGGAGGGGGGAACCAGGCCGGAGACAGAGCCAGCCCGAGGAGGCGGAGTCATCTGGGGAGAGGCGGAGCCAACTCTGGAGGGGGCGGAACGCAGGAGATGCGGAGCCAGTTCAGGGGGAAACTGCCCAGTTCGGGGAGGGCGGCGCCAAGTATGGATGGGCGGGGGACTGTTCTGGGGAGCAGCCAATCACGGAGGACGGGGGGGGGGGGCCCGATCGCGGTGGGCGGGGCCTGTTGAGGGGCGGGGCCTGTTGAGGGGCGGGGCGGGCACAGAGCGGCTCTCCACAAGCCCAGCCGTGTTTGCAGGGGGAGGAGGAGAAGGAAGGAGAGCCTGGGACCCCCGAGGCATTGCGGGGACCGACCGCCCTCCCCACCGCACTGGAAAGGGGTGCAGACGGGCGGGGTGCAGGCAGGGACGGGTGCAGGCAGGAGCCGGATGCAGGCAGGAGAGGGGTGCAGGCCGGATGGGGGTGCAGGCTTGGGAGGGGTGCAGGCAGGATGGGGGTGCAGACGGAGGGGGTGCAGGCAGGGGAGGGGTGCAGGCAGGATGGGGGTGCAGGCTTGGGAGGGGTGCAGGCAGGATGGGGGTGCAGACGGGGGGGGTGCAGGCAGGGGAGAGGTGCAGGCCGGATGGGGGTGCAGACGGAGGGGGTGCAGGCAAGGGAGGGGTGCAGGCCGGATGGGGGTGCAGACGGAGGGGGTGCAGGCAGGGGAGGGGTGCAGGCAGGATGGGGGTGCAGGCAAGGGAGAGTTGCAGGCAGGGCCGGGGCTGGAGTGGCGTCACCCCGGGATCCGGGCCAGGCTGCAAAACTTGGGGAAACTTCAGTAAGGTCCGGGCACTGAGGCCCCCCCAAATCCCCGAATTATTCCACTAAATAAACGAACCCGGGAGATGTGTCTTTCCCTCAGTTTCCCCACCGGAGCAGGGTAATAATGCCCAGGTAAGCAAAGCCAAGGAAAGTCTTACAATAATAACACTATCATAATAATAACAACAGGCAGGCCCTGTGGCTCATGCCTGTCACCCTAACCACAGGAGACTGAGAGGATCGTGGTTCGAAGCCATCAGAGGACACAGATCCCAGCCCAAAAGCCCAGAGGTTGGATGCGTCACTGCTCAAGTGGTAGAGCACCAGCTGGACAAGGACCCATTGAGCGCCATGAATTAAAAACTAATACTGTAAATGAAGTTCAAATGAAGCGTTTGAAAGGCAAAGGCTGATCTTCAAAAGGAGCTGCTGCATTCAGGGCGGCCGAGGGCCTGGGCTGGACACAGCCAGGCCTTTCATGCAGGCTGGCCCTCGTGAGTCAGAGTCCCGGGGCTCACCCAGCCAGGACGCCACCCAGGAGGCCTGACCCATGCCCCCAAAAGAAAAAACAACAAAATAAAAATTCCCTGTGTGCCGTGGCTGTGAGTCACCTGCAGAGCTAGTTTTCCATGCAGACCAGCACAGCAGGAATAACCAAACTACAGCGCTCTGGCCCCAAGCCCCAAGAGCTCCCAAAGCAGGCAAAGAGCAAGCAAGCGCCTGGAAGAGATGAAACAGAGACTGCACACAAAAGCTCTTCCCAGCCCAGCCTTCAGTGGCTCAGCGCTGCCATCCTGGCTAGTCAGGAGTCTGAGATCTGGAGGATCGTGGTTCAAAGCCAACCCCCAGCAGGAAAAAGTTCTGGGAGATTATCTCCAAGGAACCAGCAAAGAGCCTGAAAGGGACACTGTGGCTCAAGTGGTAGCGCACCAGCCTTGAGTGGAAAAAGATCAGAGACAGTGCCCAGGCCTGAGTTCAAGCCCCATGACTGACCGACAGTCAGACAGACAAACAGACACACACACACACACACACACACACACATCACACAGATCACACACATCACAAACGGCATTCTGAGCATCTCCCAGATTTGTTTGCCCAAGCTGATTGCAAATCTGGACCTCAGGGAACCGCTGGGATTACAGGCGTGAGCTACCCAACACGCCTGGCTGGAGGAGGAGAGCGTGCTACATGGGTGGACAATTGATCACAAGAAAGAGCCTTAACAATAACCCCCCAGACTTGAGTGTGCCAGGGTAAAGATGCCAACCTGCGCCAGCTGGAGTCATTTTTTCCACTGCTCAGATGGGGAGACGCGAAGCTAGGGGCTGGGACACAAGACAGAGATACAAGATGCACGGGGAACCTCAACTCTGTCCCAGCCTGAGTGTCCCCAAAGTGCAGAGAGGCTACTCTTACTTTTGTTTTGTCTTGTAACTCTTCCAGCCCTGCTTCGTGGTGTGTGTGTGTGGGGGGGGGGGGGTAATAAGCCCAGAGACAAACTCAGGCCGGATTTCCCCCCCTCCATAGCCCTGCCAGTGACCCCAGCCACACCCCAGCGTCCTGACACCCCCCTGCCCCCTGCCCGTGTCTTCATAAAACCACTCCGGGTCCATCAGGCCAAACCTGGACCCTGATTAGGGGGAGCCCACCAGAAGAAAGACACAAAGAAAGAAAAGAACCCTTCAGATCCGCAGCACCCGCTCACCTAGCTGCCTCTTTTTGCCCAGGCTAGATCTTAGGGATACAGAGCCTAGAAAAAGAACCCCCCTCCTCCACACACACACACACACACACACACACACACACACACACACACACACACACACACACACACGCATGCATGCACGCATGCAGGCACCACGATTTTTCAACTAGAAAGTCCCACCACCAGAGTGGCGAGCTGAGATTTCTTCTTCTTTCTTCCTCCCAACCAGGCAACAGAAAAGGGAAGGAATCAATGCTGCCTGGGAGTCGGTGGCTGGCTGCAGGGGCAGACACTCACCGTGCAGGGTCAGGAAGTCCCGGCCAGCGTCCATACCGAGGGGGGAGACGTGGCTGCAGGAGGGCGCGACCGGACAGGCCCGAGTGAAGGGGGGGGGGCGCTCCGAGCTCGGAGGAGGCCCGGAGCTCTGGGAATGGGCCGTGCGGGGGGGAAAGGGGAAGGAGGTGGGAGGAGGCCGGAGGTGGGCTGAGACGCTGCCCCGCCCTGCCGGCCCTGGGGCCTCTCCCCTCCCACTGCTGGTGGTTGTGGCTTGAAAAAAATCTGGAAGATTTGCCAACTTTGGGGCCTGGGCCACACCCACTCCAACCAGAAATAACCTCGGAGGCTTGTTGGCCATCCACTGGCCCTGTCATTACCGCAGCCTGCCTTCACCCCACCCTGAGCACCGCACCCTGGAGCAGCTAAGGCTGGGGCTGGCGCTGGAGGGGGCAGCAGCAAGGATGCCGGCTTCATTGCTGGAGAAGGGGAGTGGGAGAGGGGTGGTGTCAAGTCTGATGTCCAGCTAGGTTGCGGCATCCTGTAGTCCCGGCTTCCCCATGCCTAGAGCTAACTGGAGGCCTGGGGGTGGGGAAGGAGGGAGATATAGAGGAGCTGGCAGACCTTTTTCTTTCTGTTAAAAAAAAAGGGGGGGGGGTGGACTGGGAAGATAGCTTAGTGGTGGAATGCTTACCTAGCATGCATCAACTAGGTTCAGTTCCTCAGTACCACATACACAGAAAAAGCCAGAAGTGATAGCCTTGAACAAAAGATGCTTAGGGACAGTATCCAGGCCCTAAGTTCAAGCCCAGGACTGACAAAGAAATGGGGGTAGCACAGGCCACAAGGAGAGGGGAGAGGGGTGTGCTGGGGTCCTAGGCATTTGAACTCAGGTCTGGGGTGCTCTCCTTTATTTCCACTCCTGACTTTTTGCTGGTTCATTGGAGGTAAGAGCCTCACGGGCTTTCCTGGCCAGGCTGGCTTTGAACCGGGGTCCTCAGATCTCGCATCTAGGATGACAGGCGTGAGCCCGGCTGAAGCAGCTTCCCAACTCTTCTCTGGCTCCCCCCCCCCTTCCCCCCACCCAGAGGTGCCAAGGCCAGCTCCTCCCTTAGGCTGGAGGTTGTGGAAGGACAGATTGACAGACAACTCTGAGTCAGAGCCTAGCCAGAGCCAACAGGTTCAGCCGGGAATGGGAGCTGACGGCCTCGCCCTGCTCGGAGTGCTGACCTGCAGCCATTCCGGACCTGTTGCTGGCTGGCACACGCGCATGCCTGTGCATGTGTGCATGTATGTGTTAGTTGTTAGTCAGATGGAGGAGGCCTGGAGAGAGGCCATGTCCCAACAAGGTCACTAGGCCGTGGCTCCTGTCCTTCCCCTCCTGCTGCCCTCTGTGCTCTGGCCGGATGCCCGTGACCCCCCCTCTGTTCCAGCCCCCCAGGAGATGCCAGGTCCCTGGTGAGGGGGGGGAGGGAAGGAGGGGTGCAGCAAGAGAAACAAAGGGAAGATAACCAGTGGGACAGGGCAGCAGAGCAGAGCCGGGTGAGATAAGGCCTCCCTTTCCTTTTCCTGGACACCCTGGGAAAACCCAGATAAATGCACATGGAATGGGACGCCTCCCCTGCCAGGTGGGAGGACAGACCCACAGGGGACAGACAGACAGACAGACGGACGGGCAGGGTGAGGGGCAGGACAGAGATGCCCCAGCAGCAGAGCTGCTCAGAGGGAGCCGGATGGCGGCTGTCCAGCCAGGCTGGGCTGGGAGGACCACCGAGGCGGGAGGCCCGGGAAGGGAGGGCTGGCGTGGGACTCTGGTCTCCCGTGCCATGCCAAAAGGCCGGAAGTGGAGCTGCGGCCCAAGGGGCA